AAAAACCAAGTTGGGGAGAAAAGGGTTTATTTGGCTTACACTTCCATATTACTGTTCATTATTGAAGGGAGTCAGAAAAGGAACTCAAACAGGGCAGGATCCTGGAGGCAGGAGCTGATGCAGAGGCCATGGAGGGGTGCTGCTTACTGCCTTGCTTCTTGTGGCTTTCTCAGCCTGCTTTCTTTACCCAGACCACAAGTCCAGGGATTGACACCACCCACCACGGGCTGGACCCTCCCCAACTGATGTCTAAATGAGAAAATGCCTTACAGCTGGATCTCATGGAGGCATTTCCTCAACTGAGGCTCCTTCCTCTCTGATGACTCTAGCTTGTTTCAAGTTGACACACAAAACCAGCCAGTACAGAGAGGAAACATTTTATTTAACTTGCAGACTACAGGCCATCAACAAGGGGCGTCAAGACAGAAACTTGAAGAAGGGACCTGGAGGCAGGAGCCTAAGCAGAAACCATGAAGGATGCTGCTTTCTGGCTCACCCCTCTGCCTTGCCCACTCTGGCTCGCCCCTCTGCCTTGCCCCCTCTGGCTCGCCCCTCTGCCTTGCCCCCTCTGGCTCGCCCCTCTGCCTTGCCCCCTCTGGCTCGCCCCTCTGCCTTGCCCCCTCTGGCTCGCCTCTCTGCCTTGCTCAGCGGCTTTTGTTACATAGCCCAGACCCAACAGGGCCTAGGAATAGCGCTGCCCACAGTGGGCTGGGCTCTCCTTCATCAACAGTAAACAAAATGCCCCAACACATGCCATACACCAATCTGATGGTGGCAACTCCTCAGCTGAGGTTTCCCCTACCCAGGCATGTCAAGTTGACAACCTTGGTGAACCATCACAACAGATTATATATTTGTCATTCTCAGAGGCAAGGAGATCTCTGTGAGTTCCGGGCCAGGCTGGTCTACATAGTGAGACCCTACCACAAGTAAATAGTGATTATTCTTTTCTTTTAGCGTTGCTGAGTTCTTACATCCAATGCACCTTTTGTAAACAGTACATAGCTGATTGGCTTGGACTGGTCGGGGACCCAGTGGCGGGCTTTGCATGGGAACATGTGGCTCATGGATTTCTACTGTGAATCCATGTACATTTTTATCCATTTAAAATGTCATTATTTTTTATCTCATTTGTCACTTTCCTAACCTCATTTAAATTGTTGCCTTATTATGTCTGATTAATTGAATTTTGTGTCTGTTTTCTTCCCCTTTTCAGTTTTCCGTCTCCTAATTTAAAATCCTTAGTTTTTTACTCTTCTGTTGGCTACTCTAGAACTTTTAACATACATAAGTAGATTTACTTTGTGGACACACATCAACAAATATATCATATATATATAAATATTTGTATTATCCATGTTTTATCCAAGTGTGGAGCAATTATCAGTATTAGCCCCTGGAACAAAGGACACTTTATTTTCCACCACAATAACATCCTTCCTATTTATAAGCATTTTTCTTCATGGCTTTAGTTTCATAACTTTTTATTCTCAAAATCAGGTATTATTTTAGCTATTTTATTTGCCTAACGACTTTTCCGATTTTCCCACAGGTTTCCCCTCGGTTCTTCTTTTTTCTGCTCGCTCTCTCCCTTAACTACACTCCTCACAATGGGCCACCCTGCGTTGTGGTAAATTCTCAGTCCCTGCTTCATTTTAGTCTCAGTGCTGCCAGACAGTCCTGCCGGGTTTGCAGCTCCAGGTTCACAGAGGGACGATTGAGGGAGACCAGCTCCCTCCTTTCTCCCCAGGGTACTCTTGAGAAATAAGGAATATGTAGATAGATGTATAGAGGAGGGAGACAGTTAGAAACACAGGATAGCCTCGGGAGGGCCTGGGTCATTATCTACCAGTCCCTTCTGTCTCTACTAAAGGGCTTTTAAAGTAATGCCAAGGGGTGGAGCAAAAGACCTCCGCCAGCACAGCCAAGCGCAGACCATGTCAGACACCTGGTGACCGTGCACGTGGTCCAGCCATCCCCTAATGCAGCCCTGCTGTGTAGAGTAAGCTTAGATCTCACTAGGAAGCTTTTGTGGGCTCCCGCAGATGATATCACCCCATTGTCGTCACTGTCCCTTCTAAACAGTAGATTGGAGAATAACTGCCACTCTTTGTGGTCATGAATCTCTTACGGTGACTTTCTCACTTTTCTGTTCTCATCTTCACTGTGATGTATGGGGGTGGGGGTGCTATTTATCTTATTGGTCTTCCTGACATGATGGGGAAATGTGCAGAGACAACCAAACCAAACTAGTGGGAACTCATGAACTGTGGACCAATGGCTGTGGATCCTCCATGGGACTGGGCTAGGTCCTCTGCATAGGTGAGACAGTTATGTAGCTTGATTTACTTAAGGGGCCCTCTGGCAGTAGGATCAGGACCCATCTCTAGGGCATGCGTGGGCTTTTTGGAGCCCACTGCTTATGGTGGGACACCTTACACAGCCTTAGTCTGGAGGGAGGGGCTTGGACCTGCCTCAGCAGAGTGTATCAGGCTCTGCTGACTCCCCACAAGAGGCCTTGCCTTGGAGGAGGTGGGAATGGGGGTTGGGATGGGGGGGGGGTTGGTTGGGAGGGGGGGGGGGTTGGGTTTTTTGTTTGTTTTTTAAAATGAATAGAAAATTTCTTAATAAAATAGAAAAGAAAAAAAGAGTTGGGACAATTTGTTAATGATGGAAAATTCAGCTGCTATCTCTTCCGAGGCCACTCAGTACCATTAACCTACTACAATTCCTTGTGGAACTCTGATAACGTCTGATATTGACATAGCCTTGTGCCAGCATGCACAGTTTCCCCTTCCCATTCATGGTTTAGAGAACTGCTTTATTTTTTCCTCCTCTCCTGTCCTCTCTTTTTCTTCCTCCTTCTCCTTTTCTTTTTCCTCCTCTTCCTCTCCTCTTCCCCTTCCTCTTCTCTTCCTTCCTCCCTCTCTCCCTGCTCCCATCTCCCCTCCACACTGTGATCTGAGTAATGTTTCAGTCTCTTTCAATTCATTGATTTTTCTACTTAGGCCATTCCGGATTGCTTTGAGGCTCTCCAATCTGCACACTGAATTTGTACATCAGCTTCGTCTTCCATCCAGGGGAAGTCTCAGCTCGGCTGGGGAGAAATCACACAGCGAATCAGACCAGAGCTTTCCTGTTATTTTCAGGATTTGAGGATTTCTTTAAAATATTTACCTTCTCTGCAAAGTGTTTAACTTGAGGCGTTCTAGATGTCAGGGTTTCTCCAGTCTCTGCTGTGTTAAAAAGCAGCCTCTGAGCTCTCACGACGATGTTATGCTGTTGTAGGAGACTTTTTTTGTTGCCTATGTTTAATCTCATTTTTATCCATCCTCTTATATGGCAGGATCTGCACTCTCTGTTTGCAAGCAGTGGGGTGTGCAAATTGTCCTTGGCCCCATTTTAGCTCCAAGGCCCACTGTTGGCTTCCTCATGTCTGAAGATGAAGAGTAGATCCACACTGCTCAGGCTGCTGCCATTCAAGCAGAACGGCCTGTAATTCAAAGTCAGCGCCACTTTCTCTTCTGCTCTCCAGGATTTTAATACCGGAAACAAATATGATCAATAAACTCTGAAGCTGAGCATGCACTGGTAACTCTAGCGCTAGGGAAACTGAGGCAGAAGATCAGAAGTGCAAGGTGTGCCTGAACTACACAGTGACACCCTGCCTCAAATAAAAAAGAAGAAAGGAAAGGTGGATGAATGAATCCACAGTTCCCAGCATCGTTTTCTGCCCAGTTTTCTCATGGGAGCTCACCTACGCACACAAGGTCCTCCCATCAGTTTTCTCAACTCTCCCCATGTTCTCTTCCTTATATTTTTACATGGACTTTTTTCCAGGAGTGAAATAGCTTTTTCCCATACACTGATCCTACTTTCATAACAGATGAGGTTCCACTTCTGTGACTAGGAAAAGATGACTGTTGAAACTTTAACAGGGAACTTTAGAGTAATCTGCCCTTTATTCTAAAGGAGTGCCCCCTTGTTTTCTGGTTGGTACAGAGTCTCAACCTCTGACAATGACCCAGGCACCAAGGGATTATGAGGTGACCTTTTGTTCCTTAGCATTCTGTTTTGCTTTGGTTTTTAACAATTATATTTTGCTTGTTTTTTTTCATTTATTTATTGTATTTTTGAGATTATAACATAATTACAACCCTTCTCTCCTTCCTCCAACCCCCCCCCCATATTCCTCTCTGAAGACTAGCTTTCATGGTACTAGCAGGTGCCATAGAAGCTTCCAAAGAAGGGAGGCAACCAACAGTCCTACCCAGCTGTGATCCTATGAACCACAGCAATGACCAGCATGGCACAATAACCCTAAGGCGCAGCAGTGGCACACAGACCTTAGTGGGACCCAACAGCTTTCTAAATGGACTTAAGATCCACTAAATAAGAGAGAAAACATACTTGGTACTGGAAACCTCGCTAACTACTACTCCATGCTAGTGAAGTCATAGTTATTGGAGGAGAATCTACAACCACTAATTTACTAAAAGAAAATAATCCCCAACGACAATCTAAACATCTGTCCTTACACCCACAGATAAGTATAGTCTTTACCACTCATCAAGAAAACTTGCCTTAGAGACCTAATGGGTCATCATGAAAAAAATCTACCCTTCTGATGCCAATGGAGATTGAGAGCCCAATATGGCCAGCTTTGGCAAGCATTAATGTAAGCCTAGGAACTGTAGCCATGAGATTGGATTCTCCAGAAGAACTGCCAGCCAAAGTCATGCTCGGATCAAGAAAAACGGGCCTTGGTGGTTCGTGTTCCTGGAGTTGTATCCATGCCAATGGATGTCCACACAATCCAGAAGAGAATTTGACATTGCTGCTGCTGCTATTGCTGTTATAACAATGGCACACACCGCTGCTACTGTTTTTGGGATTACCATTTCATAATTGCTTATTACAGCTAGCACAGTGAAGACCCTGGCAACAAAAGTAGCTACTACAGTTAGTTAATCTTTCATTCTATTGGGCATGATAAATTTAATTCAGTAGTTATATACATCTCGATTGGCTTTGAAAATTATAAATTTATGAACTCAAGTTCCAGTTGCTTTTGGGATACTATCTGAGACCACTACTGAAAACTATAACCAGTCAATATGCAGAGTTGTGGAGCTCAGTACCAATGAATCCACATACACATACAAAACACTTCTGCACCCAAGGCCCAGGGAACATTGCAGGGGGGAGGGGGAGAAATGTAAGAGCCAGAGGATCAGGGAGTTTGCTGTGAGACTGTGTCTTCTAGAAATATCAGAAGCAACACCTGGTGAAAGGGGAAAAACTCAACTCAGCCGACCAAGCTAATCTGTGGTGTCGGACCCCAGAGATTCACACAGCTTCCTCGCAGTGTGCCTGGCCTGCTGTGGTCCTCTTCTTCAGTGTGGAGCCTGCTGCATCCCTCCCCCGTCACCAGGCTTTCTTAGCTGTTGAGTGCAGATGCTGCCGATGAAATTTCTGCTGCTCTTTCTTGTCCTGTAGAAGAAAGTGAGAACAGAGGAGCCCTTGAAGACGGGGCATCCTGGGCTTTGGGACCTGGCAGGCTTATGTCCAGGCAGTTCTTCCTCCACCTTTGAAGACACCAGGCAAGTCAAGAACTTCTCTTACACGTTTCCCAGTACCATTGTATCCAGTGAATGACTGTCTTGCCTCTGCACCAAGACAATGTTGCAATACTCTGTGTGGGCAGATGACATCATGGGTACCCAGATGTATACTAATGGTAACCAAATATATGTCTTTCAAGAACTCCACCCAGATCATTAAAAAATGAACTTTCACTTACTTACTAACTGAATGTGGAAACAGCTAAGCTTGGGACTTCTCAAGACTTTAGCCTCAATGACAGAATCATTAAATGATGTTGCAGTTCAGCAGCCTTACTCAAGGATAATGGGTATGTGTCAGCTGCAAGAAAGTGTGAGGCTGGCTAAAGGACTTTGCCATTCAGCCATGCTCCCCTCCCCTTTTTTCTCCAAACTAGAGATGATATAAGGCTGGGTTGAACAACTAGCAGGTGGATTGATTGACAAATTAAGATCCAATGAACAAACAAGAACAAAGCCCTGAAACAAGAGGCAGGGAGAATTTTAAGGATGAGTTATCTGTTCTTAGATTAAAAAACTGACTTGCCTAATTAATCTAAAATTTTAATCCAATGATGACCTAATTTCTAGAGGCTCAGATAAAAGCAACTTGAAGTCTTAATTTATTAAATGCTAAATCTTAAATAA